TTCTTCTTCTAACTCAAGTTTGAGTCTGAAGAAGCTCAGCACAGTGCACAGGCTCTGTAGCACTGGCGAGTTTACCACTTTTACTGGGGAAAGGGGGGATCTTTTGAGCCTGAGGATTTGGGGCCACGTGGCTGGTGCTGTCGCCTGACCTGTGCAGGTTAAGGTTCTATTTTTACCCGCGATAGACAAAATCCACAACCTTACAGAGGATTCGAACCTGGGTCTCTTGCATGAGATCTCTGCGTTCTTAACCGTTTGACACACACAAACACATATAAACTGTGTGCCTTCCTGTCTCCCGACCTTTCCCTCCGGTGCCAAACTTCCCCTGGCGATACCAACATCATCATGAGCCTGTGATAGCCCACGCCTTGGAAGCTGGTAGTTACGTTTGTCCACAACCTTCTGACTCGTCAAGTGTCAGTTACCTCCCTTACACAATGAAAAAATGTGGACCAATATGTCAGTGTACAACCAGGGGGATCTATTGAGGCTAGCCCTTCACAGCTTGACTGGTCTATTACTTTCCGCGACTTCTTTATGTGTAGAGTCGTACACCTATTTGGTCAGTAATGTAGATAAAGATAGGAGAACTTATAGAGATAATAAAATAAGAATACAAAAAGCAAAAAAAGTATTTATAGTATTAGAGAATTTGTGGAGGTCAAAATAAATTTAAAAGAAAAATACTAAACTTAAATTTTCAATTCTAATGTCAAATCAGTACTTTTGTATGGGGCAGAAACATGGAGAACAACTAAGGCAATTACTAATAAATTACAGACATTCATTAACTGGTGTTTGCGCAAAATAGAGGGAATTAAATGGTATGCTATAATCAATAATGTAGAGCTTTGGGAGAGAACTAAGCAAGCTCCAGTGGACAAAGAGGTGAAGAAAAGACGCTGTCGTTGGATAGGACACACACTAATTAACTAGAATATCTTTGCACTGGAACCTACAGGGGCAAAGGAATAAACGAAGGTCAAAAACACATGAAAACGGGAGCTGGAGAATGAAGCTAGAAAGATGGAGAGGACATGGGAAGAGCTGCACACGATAGCAACAGATAGAACGACTTGGCGTGAGTTGGTTGACGGCCTATGCTCCACTGGGGGCTAGAAAGATAGAACGACTTGGCGTGAGTTGGTTGACGGCCTATGCTCCACTGGGGGCTAGAAAGATAGAACGACTTGGCGTGAGTTGGTTGACGGCCTATGCTCTATTGGGAGCTAGAAAGATAGAACGACTTGGCGTGAGTTGGTTGACGGCCTATGCTCTATTGGGGGCTAGAAAGATAGAACGACTTGGCGTGAGTTGGTTGACGGCCTATGCTCTATTGGGGGCTAGAAAGATAGAACGACTTGGCGTGAGTTGGTTGACGGCCTATGCTCTATTGGGGGCTAGAAAGACAGAACGACTTGGCGTGAGTTGGTTGACGGCCTATGCTCTGTTGGGGGCTAGAAAGGTAGAAGAAGAAGATTCTCTATACAGACTGTCGTTATTTGTAGCCACTAATTTATGATCTAATTCCAGTTACAACTGTAGGATAACAATGAAACAGTCGAGCAGGTTCAAATTGCTGCAAACTTGCAAACACCTTTCGATGGCCTGGTTTACCTTTGCCAAGTTACTGGCATGTATTCATGCATTTGTGCCTGGGCTGATGGTTCAGTGTGCCTGGGCTGATGGCTCAGTGTGCCTAGGCTGATGGCTCAGTGTGCCTGGGCTGATGGCTCAGTGTGCCGGGGCTGATCGCTCAGTGTGCCTGGGCTGATGGCTCAGTGTGCCTGGGCTGATGGCTCACTGTGCCTGGGCTGATGGCTCAGTGTGCCTGGGCTGATGGTTCAGTGTGCCTGGGCTGATGGCTCAGTGTGCCGGGGCTGATGGCCCAGTGTGCCGGGGCTGATGGCCCAGTGTGCCTAGGCTGATGGTTCAGTGTGCCTGGGCTGATTGTTCAGTGTGCCGGGGCTGATCGCTCAGTGTGCCCGAGCTGATGGCTCAGTGTGCCTGGGCTGATGGTTCAGTGTGCCGGGGCTGATCGCTCAGTGTGCCTGAGCTGATGGCTCAGTGTGCCTGGGCTGATGGCTCACTGTGCCTGGGCTGATGGCTCAGTGTGCCTGGGCTGATGGTTCAGTGTGCCTGGGCTGATGGTTCAGTGTGCCTGGGCTGATGGTTCAGTGTGCCTGGGCTGATGGTTCAGTGTGCCTGGGCTGATGGCTCAGTGTGCCTGGGCCGATGGCTCAGTGTACCGGGGCTGATGGCCCAGTGTGCCGGGACTGATGGCCCAGTGTGCCGGGGCTGATGGCTCAGTGTGCCTGGGCTGATGGCTCAGTGTGCCTGGGCTGATGGCTCAGTGTGCCTGGGCTGATGGCTCAGTGTGCCTGGGCTGATGGCTCAGTGTGCCTATCCGAGTGTACCGTCCATCCCTACAGGTCTGTCTCCTGACCCGGCCCTGTTCTGTCGACTTCTCCGGTTGGACTTGCCTCCTTTGTTCTGACTGTAAGAGACGTCCTTGTGTTTAATTTTCGTCCGGGTGAGGCTCCATTGTGTTGATTGTCCAAGCTTCCTGTTATGTGGTCATGAGACGATTCGGTCTTGTTAATAATCCACGCTTTCCAAAGAGCGCATCACGCAAGAATCTAGGCTGTCACAACTACAACATCCTACCACACCATTCCACTACACCAGTCTTATTAGGTTTTTGAAAGTTTAGAGTGCTGAAAGTATTGAAATCAATTTGTGCTGTTAAAACAGTGGTTCTCAACCTACCGAATGCCCCGATCCTTTAAAACAGTTCATCAATGTTGTGGCGACCCTCCACCCACACAATTATATTCGTTTAATTATCCTGACTTCAGTAAATATTTTCTGATGGTCTTCGGTGACCCCTGTGAAAGGGTCGCTCGATACACAAATGGGTCCACAGGCTGAGAATCGCTGTGTTACATAGATCCGAAATTGCAAAAGTGATTTAGTATGTTCCTGTATGCACTGTCCTGAATGTCCGCAGTACTGCTGTACTCTGATGTGGGAGTTGTGGCCCCTGGAGAGACAAGGGCCGGTCACCGCGACAAAAGACAAGTGACCAAAAACACTCAAGGTTTCACCAAAGATGAGAAACTGGCCATTGTACAACGACACAATTACCTTAGATCTTTGGCTAAGGCTAGCAACATGCTGAAGATGGTATGTGTTGTGTAACAGTCTCAACATGTTGTGTAAGAGTCTTAAATTGTTAGAGAAGATGGCTATACAGTGAGAAATGGTAGATGGCTAGAAATAGAGAAATAGAAGAAGGCTATACAGTGAGAAATGGAAGATGGCTAACAGAGATAAATGGAAAATGGCTATACAGTGAGAAATGGTAGATAGCTAGAAATAGAGAAATAGAAGAAGGCTATACAGTGAGAAATGATAGATAGCTAGAAATAGAGAAATAGAAGATGGCTATACAGTGAGAAATGGAAGATGGCTAACAGAGATAAATGGAAAATGGCTATACAGTGAGAAATGGTAGATAGCTAGAAATAGAGAAATAGAAGATGGCTATACGGGGAGAAACTGAAGATGGCTCAGCAGCGAGAAATAAAACATGGCTCTTTAGGGAGAAATGGAAGATGGGTAGACAAGGAGAAACGGAAGATGGATAGACATTGAGAAACTGAAGATGGGTAGACAATGAGAAATTGAAGATGGGTAGACAGGGAGAAATGGAAGATGGGTAGACAGTGAGAATTTGAAGATGGGTAGACAGGGAAAAATGGAAGATTGCTCTACAGGGAGAAATTGAAGATCCGTAGACAAGGAGAAATGGAAGATGGGTAGATAGGATGAAATGGAAGATGGGTAGACAGGGAGAAATTGAAGATGGGTAGACAGGGAAAAATGGAAGATTGCTCTACAGGAAGAAATTGAAGATGGGTAGACAAGGAGAAATGGAAGATGGGTAGAGAGTGTGAAATGGAAAATGGGTAGACAGGGAGAAATGGAAGATGGGTAGACAGGGAGAAATGGAAGATTGCTCCACATGGAGAAATGGAAGATGGGTAGACAGGGAGAAATGGAAGATGGGTAGACAGGGAGAAATGGAAGATTGCTCCACATGGAGAAATGGAAGATGGGTAGACAGGGAGAAATGGAAGATGGGTAGACAGGGAGAAATGGAAGATGGGTAGACAGGGAGAAATGGAAGATTGCTCCACATGGAGAAATGGAAGATGGGTAGACAGGGAGAAATGGAAGATGGGTAGACAGGGTGAAATGAAAGATGGGTAGACAGGGATAAATGGAAGATTGATCTACAGGGTGAAATGGAAGATGGGTAGACAGGGAGAAATGCAAGATTGCTCTACAGGGAGAAATGTAAGACTGCTCCACATGGAGAAATGGAAGATGGGTAGACAGGGAGAAATGGAAGATGGGTAGACAGGGAGAAATGGAAGATTGCTCCACATGGAGAAATGGAAGATGGGTAGACAGGGAGAAATGAAAGATGGGTAGACAGGGAGAAATGGAAGATGGGTAGACAGGGAGAAATGAAAGATTGCTCCACATGGAGAAATGGAAGATGGGTAGACATGGAGAAATGGAAGATGGGTAGATAGGGAGAAATGGAAGATGGGTAGACAGGGAGAAATGGAAGATTGCTCCACATGGAGAAATGGAAGATGGGTATACAAGGAGAAATGGAAGATGGGTAGACAGGGAGAAATGAAAGACTGCTCCACATGGAGAAATGGAAGATTGCTCCACATGGAGAAATGGAAGATGGGTAGACAGAGGTATGGAGGTTATATAGCTAGGAAAGACAGATATTAAAGCAGAAGAAATGCACACAAGGAAGAAAGGATGACAGGAATAGAAGAAGGGATGTTAGCTAGAGTAGAGACCACATAAAAGGTAGACAAATTAATATGATTTTTGGGGGTGCTCTACACTAGTTTTATTGAATACAGGGGCAACACCCAATAAACAGTAAAAACATGTTAAGCCTTGCATCATCTGCTCTTTCTATGACCACGAGCACGTTCAAATGTATGGCATTTGGAGCGTACAATTGGCTTAGTGTGGCTGTGTGGCACACCGGGAGCTTGAAGGCTTTGCGACCTTTCCTTGGACCTTGAACCAAGACTGTGTTCTGTCATTTGGGAGCACAGATTGCCAGCTGATCAAAGGTTAGAATCTTTCCTCCAGCCTTCAGGATGCGGCCACCAGCACAGTCGGTGATTTTCAGAGCACACATCTTGAGCTTGGGTAGCGAGTGGATGTGAATGTCGTCAGTGATGGTTCCAACAACAACAGCAATCTTGTTATCACGTCCAGGTTTCTTCATCTTGCGAAGCAGCTTAGAAACAGACAGAGGACGACGATTAGTCCTACTCATGAACAGCCTTTTTGAAACCACCTTGTTGAAGTTTGAATTGGTGCGCCTTGCCAAGAATCAAAACAACTTGACCAACAATCTCAAGTAAATATCCTCACTTCTTGGCTCGGTCCTACGGACTTTCCTGTCGTACTTGTGACTAAGATGTCAATTCCCATTATCTCAAGAAGGGTGATTAGTTTTAAATTAATATTTTCCCTCTTGCACATGTGATCAACACGTGTGATTTGGGTTTCATTAACGCATAATGTAAACAAACGTTGTTGTTTAAAACACTGGCCGATCTGTCAGATATGGGACCCACAGCTGGAGAAGCTAGCACAGAACTACGCCGCCCAGTGCAAGTTTGAGCATAGCCGCGACAGGAACAAGGTGGCTGGGTTCGCTGCCGTGGGAGAGAACCTCTATGCTGGAACAGGTAATTGAGTGTTTACTTACTTCCCCTTGTCGTCTCACTTACTTCCCCTTGTCGTCTTAGCTGTCATGGAGCAACGGAAATCAAGATGTGGCCATGTTGCCTTATACAGTAATAAGTTACTGTCAGTTTAATCCAGTGTTACTGGAAGGTAGTGGCGCAACAACCTGGCCATTTAGTTTAAAAATAAAATCCACAAACATTTGCAAGCGAGTTAATCTGCTCTGCCTTCCTCTTTTCCCCAACCACGTATATAAATTGTTTTTTAATTTTGTTTTTCTATGTATAATATGGCTTCAAATTATTTATTATATTTATTTGCCTTTCAGACTATAGTTTTTATTACTAAACACTTAAACAAGGTTAAGGTCCAACCACATCCCGGCACATGTGTTTTTTTTTTTTTGTGTGTGTGTAGACACCCCTGTTGGAAGGAGAGGGGAAGTGGCTCAGGGGTTACAATGTCCACCCGTGACTGATCGGATCGGATCTGATTCATAATATGAGCTGTTTCGCTGTCTGAGGCCTTTTATTTGTTGTGGTATTTAATACTGCCGGTAGCCGGTTTACGTGTGAGCTGGTGAAATACCTTATGTAATAGTTCTACGTGTGTATAACCAACTTATCGTGCCCAACATCTTCCTCAACGACAAACTGCATTTCTGGTGTCTTTGGCACCTCTAGCAACTGCTAAATGCATTTACCATGTGCACATATTTGTTTATTGTTCCGGGACTAATTGTTTGTTCACCAGTTTGTCAAATGCGACAGTTAGGGACATTTCGTTTGATTTGCGGTGGCATAGGAACGGAGCAAGTTTGTGGAAACTCGATTGCGGTGATGTCGAAACCTTGACTAAAACTAGAACTAAGTGAATTGTGTGGAGTCTTTTTTCTACCCTTTTCTGTGATCGCTCTTTGATACACAGACGGACGAGTTCTTGTAATAAAACTGACTTGCGGGATCCTTTTAGTTCTTCTATACAGTTAGTTAGTTGCGTATCCTTTACAGGACTCTGCAGAACCAACCTCAGCATTTTATAGCTATTGTGGTTTTTATAGGTTAATGTACGTCCAGTAGTTTGCCACTGCTTTCCTGGCGGTCGGCTTCTCAATACCCCTGTCTAAACCAGCGCAAGGCCCGCAGCAGGGATCGTACCCGGCATTCTTCATAGACTGTGCCAGTGACACGCTTGCAGAATATGTTGTGCAGTTTGCCCATAGACAGGCCAAACAAGTACAGCAGTAAACTACTGAGACGAACTCTGTGCGTATGCTTGTTAAGACTGTTATGTCCGCTGTCCTAATGAGTCGAACAATGACCTGTCCACGCCGGTCAAGCAAGTGGTAGTCATCGCGGGCCAGATCATGTTTGCTACCTCACATCTGTCATCATCTTTTAGTGCGTGTCCTAGACAGGAAAAACCGCTAACTTGTTCTCGTGTCTCCCTTCTTGCTCTGATATTCACAGTTAGTATCTTGTCTCCATGACAACAGTGTGGAGGCACAAACAGAACATAACAGTCTGAGAAGAATGGCGCTGTGAGAAGTTACCAGGAGATCTGGCCGACGCTCAAAACTCAAAGAAAAGGCGAGATGGATGTACAATCAGATAGTTACTGATACCATCGGAATTGGAACTCTTCGCTTACTGCTGAAAATGGAGACGGAGCATTTATGGGAGTGTCCCAAGTACTGTGATGTCAATTCTTGATTCAACATTTATTCTTCACAACAATTATCACTGATTTCAAAGAATCATCCCCATCATTAGTTCCACAGCATCCCCATCATTAGTTCCACATCATCCCCATCATTAGTTCCACATCATCCCCATCATTAGTTCCACATCATCCCCATCATTAGTTCCACATCATCCCCATCATTAGTTCCACTACATCCCCATAATTAGCTTCACAGCATCCCCATCATTAGTTCCATATAATCCCCATAATAATCTCAATATTGACTCATCTCTGATGTTGTCCAGCGGAATTTGATTCAGCCGCAGTGGTACAGGCCTGGAATGATGAAGTCACAGATTATACCTATGCTACAAACAAATGTAAAGCAGGTGCGGTGTGTGGGCATTACACACAGGTCAGTGTGTTGTGTGTTTGTGCGTGTGTGCATTACACACAGGTCAGTGTGTTGTGTGTTTGTGCGTGTGGGCATTACACACAGGTCAGTGTGTTGTGTGTTTGTGTGTGTGGGCATTACACACAGGTCAGTGTGTTGTGTGTTTGTGCGTGTGGATATTACATATAGATCGGTGAATTTTGTGTGTGTGTGTGGATTATACACGTGTCAGTAAGTTTTATTTGTGTGTGGGGGGGGGGGGGGGCATTTTACAAAGGTCAATGGGTTGTGTGTGTGTGAGTGATTGTATGCGCACATGCTGCTTTTCTTTTTCAAAATCCCAAATATGTTGCTTATACCAGCTTGAAGAGAACTTAGTTACAACACAACACACCGCAATAAAAAACAACACAACAAATGACTTGTACACATCCTACCTCGCCGATGAACGTTGCAACCGTGAGTGTCCAGTCCTGACAGGCATAAACTTTTTTCTACCTGAGCCATATACAAGAGAAACAAACCACTTTACAGGATATGTTCGAGCGCAACAGCTGAAGACAAAACCTACATAAACTGATTCTTCTTATGTCCTTCTGTCTCTTGTGGAGCATAGGCCCTCAACCAACTCCAGCCAAGTTGTCCTATCATGTATTCCCTGCCTGTATTTACCACTAGATGCTGTAGGGCAGGCACATCTTCAGCCTGGGGATTTACAGTGGCAGGGCTAGTGCAGTTGCCACAAACTGTGCAGGTTGGGATTTGTATTTTGCCCCCAACAGACAAAATGTCAGTCTCTTACCGAGGATCGAACCTGGCCTCCCGTATGAAAGCCCAGTGTTCTAACCATTCAGCCAGACACTCCTCCTCCTCCTCCTCATGTATTTCATTGGCTGAAACATTTAGGGGCATCACTACTATGAGACTTCACAAAAACTACATCCAACAGCAACAAAGGCTTCCCTGAGAACTTCCCATGAACCCACTTGGGATGCATTTATATTTGACTGCTCTCATATATCCCCTGTGTAGGTTGTGAGGCCCCATTGGATGTGGGGGGGGGGGGGGGGGGCAGCAATTTACTAATACCCCAACAACCATGTCATAAAGGGTTTTCCTGAAATCTGAAGTGTTGGCTTGAAAGGGCACAGACATTGTAGGTTAACTGTACAACACAATGACCCAACTGCACTTTCAACCGATGATTGATGTAGACAATCATAAATAAACTGGTTACAGAAGCTGGACAATCAAGATTGTATGAGCACAATGTAAAAACTCAACACATAATATAGAGGTTTTTGAGTACAAATACTATAAAAAGACTTTCAGAATACCACGAATAAAGAAGAAGAAAAATACTGACATCCTAAATGATCTGAAAATCAAGGAAGATTGGCAGGTAAACAACATCTTGTCTCAAAAACTCAAATATTTGTGGATGTAAGTGATATCTTGAGTAGGAAAGTGCATGAAGCAGATCTGGGAAGTGCACAAAGCGGGAGATCTGGGAAGTGCACAAAGCGGGAGATCTGGGAAGTACATGAAGCAGGAGATCTGGGAAGTGCACAAAGCGGGAGATCTGGGAAGTGCATGAAGCAGGAGATCTGGGAAGTGCACAAAGCGGGAGATCTGGAAAGTGCATGAAGCAGGAGATCTGGGAAGTGCATGAAGTGGGAGATCTGGGAAGTGCATGAAGCGGGAGATCTGGGAAGTGCACAAAGCGGGAGATCTGGGAAGTGCACAGATCTGGGAAGTGCACAGATCTGGGAAGTGCACAAAGCGGGAGATCTGGAAGGAGACTGAGTTTCTTTTAGGCAGGCTGTAATGACAGCGACATTCTGCAAAGGACCTGCTACATGATGATGATGAGGAGGGATAAGAAGCCAGCCTGATGGACAATGAGCAAAGGGAAGACACACATAAACGTGTGGATGGTTGAGCCATATGACAACTACAGGACACGAACACGGACCTGATCAGACAGCTGGTCAACCAAGGCTGGAAATATGGGTACTTGGACATGTTCTGGGAAGAAAACACAACCATATTACACAACCAGTACTGACTCATCTATCACATTGTGTGTCTGGCATCATGTGCCCATGATGCCTCAATGTCTGTAAAGAGTTCTTGTTTCTGTTTAACACATTTATCTCTTTCACACACTGAGTGGAGTAACACATTTATCTCTTTCACACACTGAGTGGAGTAACACATTTATCTCTTTCACACACTGAGTGGAGTAACACATTTATCTCTTTCACACACTGAGTGGAGTAACACATTTATCTCTTTCACACACTGAGTGGAGTAACACATTTATCTCTTTCACACACTGAGTGGAGTAACACATTTATCTCTTTCACACACTGAGTGGAGTAACACATTTATCTCTTTCACACACTGAGTGGAGTAACACATTTATCTCTTTCACACACTGAGTGGACTAACACATTTATCTCTTTCACACACTGAGTTTATCTCTTTCACACACTGAGTGGACTAACACATTTATCTCTTTCACACACTGAGTGGAGTAACACATTTATCTCTTTCACACACTGAGTGGAGTAACACATTTATCTCTTTCACACACTGAGTGGAGTAACACATTTATCTCTTTCACACACTGAGTGGAGTAACACATTTATCTCTTTCACACACTGAGTGGACTAACACATTTATCTCTTTCACACACTGAGTGGAGTAACACATTTATCTCTTTCACACACTGAGTGGAGTAACACATTTATCTCTTTCACACACTGAGTGGAGTAACACATTTATCTCTTTCACACACTGAGTGGAGTAACACATTTATCTCTTTCACACACTGAGTGGAGTAACACATTTATGTCTTTCACACACTGAGTGGAGAAACAGATTTATCTCTTTCACACACTGAGTGGAGTAACACATTTATCTCTTTCACACACTGAGTGGAGTAACACACATCTCTTTTGGATCTCTATCTCACACACTGAGTGGAGTAACACATTTATCTCTTTCACACACTGAGTGGAGTAACACATTTATCTCTTTCACACACTGAGTGGAGTAACACATTTATCTTTTTCACACACTGAGTGGAGTAACATATTTATCTCTTTCACACATTGAGTGGAGTAACACATTTACCTTTCACACACAGATTATGTGGAATTTATCTCTTTCACACCCTGAGTGGAGTAACACATTTATCTCTTTCACACACTGAGTGGAGTAACACATTTATCTCTTTCACACACTGAGTGGAGTAACACATTTATGTCTTTCACACACTGAGTGGAGAAACAGAT